TAAAATGAAATGAGGGGTTTCTATTTGACCCTCTAAAACCCATTTATACTTGTTTATTATAAAACCTGCTTCTAAACTCTAATCCTAACCCTAAAAAAATGCCAAAAAAATATACCCAAAACTTTGTATTTTTTGGTGGCTTGTTTTTTTACACTATCTCTCATTTCATTGGCATGCCACCTCAAATAATTTATATAATAAATAATAATATATATATATACTATATAAATTTTTTTATATTAAACATATATCTAATATATTATAAAATAGTTTATATACAAAGCAATATTCATGTGAATTGTACTTTAAGAATTGCTTAATTGAGTATAGTTAAATTAAAAATATAACATAATAGTAAGCTATATATTTGTTTCTTAACCTGATTAGAAACAAGCTATAAATAATAATTACAATTTTTATTTATATTTCTATATAATTTTTACATATTTATTATTATTACCCAGATATCAAATTTGGGTTTCTATAATTTTTACTATAAATAAGCAGTACATTAAAATTATGCTTATCTGATCACTTATAGTATTATATCATCAAAATTTAGAAATATATGTACTTAAATTTGTGTTATTGTTTAGTTTGTTTAAGCTTCAAATTAGAATAATTGACCTTAATTAAAACAAAAACTATGACTATAAACATATAATATTTAATAAATCATATAGAAACAATTATATAAATAGAAGCATTATTTGTTGTAATCTAGTTTGTCTAAGCTTCAGACTAGAATAATTAACCTTAATTGAAACAAAATATATAGACTTGATTAGGACAGCTTACAGGTTTTATAAGTCATATAAGTAGTACTAACTGCAGCAATTGTACAAACAAATTAATATTAAATTTATAGTATTATCACTACAAAAATTTTGAATATTTGATTCTGCACTGCATATTGTGCATATTGAATATTGGTGGCATTACCTATATAATCTATAAAATCAGTAACTGCTTTGGTTATATTAAATATATAATTATATAAGTATATGATATTTAATAAATTATATAAAAACAATTACAAAAATTGCTTCAAAATAAATTAATAGAAACATTATTCAAAACAACTAAAATTATTTAAATTGTTTTCCAAACTTTTGCAAGTTATTATTTAAAAAATTTTTATGAATATACAGAGAATATTATAGGTTACCAAATGGTTTACTTGTGTAGCACAAGTAAATTATTTAGTAACTCATAGTATCTCTTTATAATTATATAACAAAGAAAAAAATAAATTAAAAATTGGATTTTATTTTTTGGTGTACCTGCACCGTGGTGCACTCCTTATCACATGATCAATATATTACAGCATTATTACAATTTTTTATTAATTTATTAAAAAGAGTTTATTATATGTACCTTAAGGTATATCGGCTTTAACTATTCTATCAGTTATGTGCAACTAAATATTTTCTAAAAACAACTTTATTATAGACAATACAACTTGTATTGCTTTGCTTATGCTCAGCAACACAGACAGGGCTTGCTTCACTCACTCTATAGTTACTTCACTATGGCTGTCACCTCTATTTTACTCCCTTTTCTAAATAATCGATATAATACATGATTTATTCTAATCTATTCTAACTTACTTTAACCCTAACACAACTAACAACTCAACAAAAATTCACATTTACACCAACAAAAATACAAAGTTAAAATGATGGAATCAACAACTATAACATAAACTATCTAATACCAGCATAATAACGAAAAATAAATATGATGAAATAGAAAACTCCTTCTACAATGATAACGGCGAACACCAATGATGAAGATACTTCACATCTCCAATAATTATAGCACCAACGATGTGAGAAATTACAACTACGAAATTCCAAGAAAAACACTTTTAACAATACTTAAAAAAAAAAAAAAGATGTTAGTACAGTATATTCAACAACCAAAGCAAAAACAAAATAAAATTATACTTCCTGAAGAAAGCTCAGAGAAGCCTTTTATGATATCTTGAAAAAAAGAAGTATTAATAACGCAATTGAAAATCAGATCAAGCTCATCTAAAAAAAAAAGAAGCATTGCTAACATGTCAAGCTAAAAACAAAGCCAAAAAAAAAAAAAGAAATTATACATCTCCAGAAAATACTCTAAAGTTCTCAACAGTATTAATAACGTATCCACAGACAACAAAACAACATAATCATATATTCCAAATTCCTAAAAAAAGATTTCAAAACCCAAAACTGTCTTTAAAAGTACCTATAAGACAAAAATGTTAATAACATGTTCACAACAGATATACCAAAAACAATCAACAGAAAAAATCTACTTCTAGAATCTTTAAGAAAGTCTGAAGACACCTATAACAAGCCTAGAAAATGAAGAAAAAGGTTAGTACATATCTACAATTCAGAATAGCAAGAACAATGAACAAAAGAAATCATACTTCTCAGTATTCAAAAGGAAGAAAAAAACTTCAAAACACCTTTAACAAACCTAGAAAAAATAAAGCATTAGTAACAGTTTACAAGCCAGTAAACTAAGACAACGAATAAATAAAACTATATATTCCAGCAACTACAGGTATTACTAACAAATTTAACAATACTCTAACCTAACCTGTCTACATTGTTATGTAATAACGCATCAGCAATATAATCTAGATCATATCAAAAACAGCTTCAACTAAGAGCAGTATACTAGCATACAAGAAGTGAAACCACAGCATACCCAATAAAAACACAAATTTTTGTTGAAAGCAACAACAGCAAGGTGATACCAATTCACCAAAGTACCAGCAAATAACAAAAATGAATAATGATACAAATTGCAAAACGATAGCTTCAGTAATGACAAATAAGTAATTCACCAAAGCACCAGTGAATAACAAAATGAATAACAACACCAAATTACAAAACGACAGCTTCGGTAATAACAAATAAGTATAGTACATATTTATTAACTAAAAAATATTAGTAATGATTGAAACAAAAATCAAAAAAAAAATTCAGTTGATTAGATGCAATTGATGATCACTATTTATACCCCATGATCAGGGTATACTATGGTGCAAGATACACCAAATTATAATTCTCTTAAAAATTTGTCTAAAAATCAAATACTCATTATAAAAAAATAAATATTTTATTAGTATAATATTATAATGATATTTTTAAACAAATTATATGTTTTATAAACAAAGAAAATATAAAATTCTTAAATAATCTATAAAATATATATGTGATTCAGGAGTAATTTTTATTTATATTTTTGTAAAAAAATAAAATTAAATTATAATTAGTACCTTATATATCCCTTAAACCATCCAGTTTAAGCAAGCAAATTTGCTTGCTTAAATTTTATAAATTCATATCTGATCTATTTTTTTTAAAAATAAAAATATTTTATA